GGTGAAGCATTGTTATTTCGGCACAAGTACTGTGAGTAGTAATCTTACCGCAATTTGTGTTTTCATAACTTGCATGATTTACACATGATTTTTAATATGAATATGTTACCAATTAATTTGAGTTGAATGTGGGACAAGTCTTTTACTCGATATGATACCGAAATAGTTATTTGAGAAGATTACCGTTATTTTAAATATTTCCGTTATCACTAGATCTGTTTTACCGTTACTTGATTTACTGTTATGGAAATAAAATTATATGATTTGATAAGAACCGAAATGCCCTATATTGAATTAAAATATTTTCTGCGAGTATATATACGGATTACAGAGACAAGTATAAATGGGAGTAGACATTGAAGGATCCCGTAGCTAACGGCGGGTTCGTTAGACCTGGTGCACCTCGTAATTACATATTAACGTTATAGCCCTCGCTAGTGGGAAGGTAGAACTAGCATACCGTTACCGATTTCCCTCGAGTAGGGACTACCGTTATATTTGACTTCTTGCGAAGAAGTCTACAGTTATATCGGTTACATGATCCGTTCATTGAAACCTCCCAAAATATGAATATTGATATTATACACTGGTTACCGAACTTATTACAGAATTGTCAATCGTATTATACTACAAGAAAAACATGATGAGACTGAAAATTGTTTATTGTTTCTGAAAGGGGCATTTTTATGATAGTTTCTGTTTAATATACTAGCATGTTTTCTGACTTGTCCCCAAATAAAAATGGTTGTGGTTAAGTGTTATTACTTACTGAGCTAGCGACTCATTCCCCGCTAATTTTTTTCCAGAGACAACAGTTGACGCGGGCAAGGATTTCGTTAATTAGAGCGCACTGGTTGATAGTTCTTGGTGAGCCTCGCACTTGTTCGCGTGGGCGAAGATTTTATTTATTGTTATACTCTTTTCTTTGAACTCTTAGAGTTGCTCCATAGTCATTATTTTAGTGTCATGAGTATTCTTTTGTTATTATAGTCTTATGTTGAGTATCTGTGACGACCCGGCCGGTCGTTTCATGAGTTACCGCTTTGATTCCCCCATTTTTGCGCCTATTTGCTTTGTTCATCTGTGTTTTGAGGTATCGGGTTGGTTGGATTGAATCAGGATTGGTTTTGGTGAAGTTGGAGACACTTAGTCTCTTTTAAGAAGGCTTAAGTTGGAAAAGTCAACCGGATGTGGACTTATATGTTAGAGGGATCGGATGTGAGTTCCGATGGTTCGGTTAGCTTCGGGAGGTGATTTGTGACTTAGGAGTGCGATCGAAATGGGTTTTGGAGGTGTAGAGAAGATTTAGGCTTGAATTGGCGAAGTTGAGATTTTGGCAATTTCCAGTTGATAGGCGAGATTTCGATGTAGGGGACGGAATGGAATTCCAAGAGTTGCAGTAGCTTCGTTACGTCATTTGGGATGTGTGTGCAAAATTTCAGGTCATTTGGAGGTGGTTTGGTTGGGTTTTTGATCAAAAGCGTATTTCGGAAGAATTTAGGAACTTAGGCTTGAATTCGATGTGATTTGGTAGATTCGATGTTGTTTGAGGTGTTCTGATGATTGGAACAAGTTTGAATAAGGTGTCTGGTTATGTTTGTACTTTTGGTTGAGGTCCCGGGGGCCTCGGGGTGAATTCGGAGGGTTAACAGAGAGATTGGTGAATTGTTGCAGCAGCTGATATTGCTGTTTCTGGTGTTTTCGCACCTGCGGTTTGGAGACCGCAGGTGCAGTGTTGCACGTGCGGAAGAGAGGGCGCAAATGCGGTCTTAGGAGTTGGGATCAGGAAGTGCAGATGCGGTTTGGGAACCGCACCTGCGGAGTCGCAAATGCGAAAAAAGGACCGCAGATGCGGTTTGGGCTGGTTTAATGAATTTCCGTAGAAGCGGATGGATTGACCGTATATGCGGTACCGCAGAAGCGGATTTTGGACCGCAGATGCGGAAAGGCCTAGGCAGAAGGAATATATTTCATACTTCGCGGTTTTTGAAGGGTTTAACCATTTTTGAACTCGGAATTGGGAGCTTTGGGCGATTTTGATGAGAGAAATCAAAGTGGCTTCGTTGAGGTAAGGATTTTGGACTTAAAACACATTTCTATGGTAGAATTTCATGAATTAAGGCTATAATTAGGAGGATTAAAAGGCTAAAAATGGAGGTTTAGGGCTTGAGTTTAAGAGGCCTTTAATGGGGGATTTGAGGGGTCATTTGGACTCCGATTTTTGTGTTCTTGGTATGTATGAACTCACGAGAAGACGAGGAATCTAGTGATGTGAAAATTTCTGAGTTTTGAGAAGTGGAACCGTGGCTCGGGTTTTGCTAATTTCGGGATTTTTGGTATTTTTTGATTGTTTTCGCTTGGGCTTTGTTCCCTTAGCATATTGTGACGTATTCGTTCTGATTTTGGTTAGATTCGATGCACATGGAGGCCAATTCAAAGGGCAAAGGCGTCGCGAGCTAGGGATTCTAGCCGGTTCGAGGTGAGTAATGCTTGTAAATGATGTTCTGAGGGTTTGAAACCCCGGATTGTGCATCGCAGTACTATATTGAGGTGAGGCACACGCTCGATGACGAGTGTGGGGTCGTGTACTATTAGGGATTTGGACTTGGTCCATCCCGATTGATGATTTTACCGCGTATTTGATTTAAAACTATTTTTTATCATCGTTTATTGGGCTGATTGCCATATTTGGGCTTCGTGCCAACTATTTGAACCCTTTCGGGTCTTTTATTCGATATTTCCTTACTGTTTTGACTTATTATTTGAACTCAGTCATATTAAATTCCACTGTTTTACTACTCAGCCATTTTTACTCAGATTTTTAGATTTAAATGATATTTTAAATGATGTTTGGGCTGAGAAACACTATTTTACTATTGCCCGAGGGGCTTGTGATGATTTTTGACTGAGTAAGGCTGAGGGCCTATATTGTGAGGAGATACTGATACTGATTGGAGGCCAAGAGCCTGAGATATGTATGCCACGAGGTGGCTTGATTGATATGAGGCCGATGGCCTGGATTTGATACCACAAAATGGCTTGTTATTGCGCTTGGGCCGTAAGGGGCCCCTCTAGGAGTCTGCACACCCCAGTGAGCGCGGGTACCCATTGAGATGTGAGATTGAGCTCGAGGGGCTGTTACTGTTGTGAGTTGTTGCCCGAGGGGCGGATGTGGTGGTACTGAGCCCGAGGGGCGAACTTTATTTGTTTACCTTATCATAATTATCTGTCAATTACTTGTTTACTGGTTTAAAGAGCATTTTTCCTGATTCTTACTCGTTTTCCTGATTTTAAATGATTTTACTACTTCATTATAGACTGCCATAAGCTTTACGTGTTTTCTTGCTTTCAGTTATTGTTTATATTCATTACTCACTAAGTTGGAGTACTCACTTTACTCCCTGCACCCTGTGTGCAGATTCATGCGTAGCTGGTTCCGTTCTGGAGTGTTGATTCCTCCAGTTCCAGGCGGGCTTATTCGGAGATTACGAGGTAGTTGTTGACGTCCGCAGCCACGTGTCTCTACTCTTCTATCATTTCTGTTTCTTACAAACACTTGTAGTAGTTTATGACTTTAGTAGACTGTACTGTGACTCGTAGATGCTCTTGACTTGTGACACCCCAGTTAAAGCTGTGTCGGGTTGGATTTCCTCATTTTCTTGATATTTACGCTATTCCGAATTATTAAATCATGTTTAGATTATTTTGTGTTGTTTAACTGCTCTAAAAGATGAATTTGATTAAACTGGCTGGCTTTGTCTTCACAAGAGGCGCCATCACGACCGGGTTCGGGGCGAGGGTCGTGACAGTATCGTTCTCTTTTATGAAAGTTGGAGATAAATTAGTATTTCTAGTGATTAATTGGTGGTTTAGTTATGGTGGAGACTTGTATTGGTTAATTGACAAGTTGTCAATTGTTTTTGAATCTTGAGGTTATTTCTTGTACCTTCCTCTTTAAATCTCCACTATCTTCCATCAAGGCTGAATGCATCAAAAAAATGTTAATGTCTATGTTGCTTCTCTAGTTCACTAATACAATCTTATCTAATTCTCCAATTCGGTGCGCACAAGTAAATAATAGTAAAAAGAAATTAGCAGCACATATATCTTACACTAAGAAGGAAACCCTTAATTGGAGAATCTGATGAATTCTTATACCTAAATAGTGCAAGGGAAAAGCCTTAGCTAGAGAGACATGTCCATTGAGCTACCAATCTTGTTCCTTTTTTGACTTTTCCCGCTAAGTAATACTGTTCATGACTATCTCTGAAATTGAATAAAATACACAATTTCTTATATGTAATAGCAGCTAAACCAAACAATTCGACAGAATTGACATTAAAGTAAAATGAAACTTGGACTCAACACAAAAAGAGATACATAGAGAGAGATAGATAGAATCCATATATATAGTAAAACAGAAAATCAGCAAGAAATACCGAAGAGAGAAGAGCAAAGGCGATAAGATGAGAAGACTATGCGGTGGGTGCAGGAGTAAGAGACGTAGATAGTTGTACCTATTTACAAAAAATGACTGTAATACCCTGAGATTGAATTTTAATACCACGAAGCAGACACGTCGAAACCAATGGCTTTTCTATAATAACTAGGTGGCGTTAGTCCGTGCCAGCACGGGTCCAATATGATAAAAGTTGAAATTATTATTTTCTTAACTTTATTTTGACATGAAATGGCAGGAAAGAGGAACTGATGCATATAAAGGATTACCAAATACGAACAATATCACTGGATATTAGTTAGATATCTCGGATATTGTATGATCACTAAATGACTATTTTTGTTAATACTATTTTCGGATGTCACTCACTTTTGCATTTAAATCCGTCATGTTGGTTATGCATATGAAGTAAAGGAATGAATTCCTTTGAGCTATTATGTAGAGGCTAGTTGAGATTTTATAGATAAGCAGAAATAGAGCTATATACTACTTAAATCTACCCTACGGCAGAGAAATATTTGTAGATTAATGCTGTTTTCAGTAATTATTAGAGAAGAAACATGTCACGAAATATGTTTTCGTACACTTATAAGGTTTTGCTAGGATGCTTTATAAAGCAAAGTATTACAGGCTAAAGGGAGACAGTGTATTTAAAAGTCATAACTATTCATTATCAGGACAGAATTGTTGTCCACATACAACAATGTGACTTTAAGAGTATTTAGCAACATGGTCACTGTCTTCACCTGTCCATCCAGTTTTTTCATTATGTTGGACCAACCATCAAACATGTAGCTCGTGTGAATGATTCACATTAGAGAGTAATCTTCTCAAATACATTCAGTGATATCCAACGTAACGCCCACAAAAATCAAATGAGAGCTTTGGATAAACTTGTGAGATGCATTCATCTGTAAGATACTGGATGATTGGTATTTTACCGCAGCTGCAACTTCTGTAGAGGTCGTTAAGTTATCAATTATAACCTTAAAATGAGATTCAAGTATCTTTTGAACAATTTTTGCATTTTTGAGCAATGGACAGACATAAAAACCAATTACTTCCATAGGACATGGGGCATTCAGGAATAAGAAGCTTAATATTTATCATGGTTAAAAAATAATCCAGTCAAATGTAGATATCATTCTCAAGTGCTTTCATGTTATTTACAATTGATTCATCATCCAATATATGTTATTCAACGAACACTTACAAGAACCATTATAACTATCAACACCAGCCTGAATAATAAACAATATCAAAATCAAAAGCCTTAGAAGGACCAGAGTAGGCAAGGAAAAAATATATTACATGTGGACTTCACTACAGATTCAGCAGTAGAGAGTTTTACCTCTGTTACACAAATAGGATTTAAATGAATCAGCTAAGCAAATCCAGATTGTGCCATAGAGAGATGGCCTGCACAATAAGTAAAATAATGTCCTAGAAGAATTAAATATTGAACCATGACTATCTGCTCCAAAAGATGGAATGGCAAGGAGATGATTTTAACATGAAAAAATATATATAGAAACTATCTCTGTTTGATCAATGCTGATATTTAACTTATTCTCTTGTCGGAAAAGATGGATGTATGTCAAGGAGAGACGCTAAGTGCAATATGTTCATCCTAGTTAAGAATTAATATTTTCAGAAGTGGAACATTTCCTCCAAGTAATTATTTATTTGAAATAGTTTGAAAGAAAAAGAGGAGTAGGACGAAGGTCAAATATGGATTATACCTGCTGAATATATGTTTCTGCTAATCAGGTATGGGTTTCACATCCTGTCTAGTCACTTCCTTTGAACGTTGCTAGCTCGGAGAAGCATTTATCAATGACTCAGAAACGTTGCTGTAGTTACTTTTTTTGCTTCCTCTCAGCCTCCCGTCCTGCGGCTTTTACATTTCAACTCTTTCAGCTTCCAGCCTAGCCTGCATCTGATGGAATAAACTTATTATTACCCACAAGGACAAAATTCAATAAAAAACTACCGCTTCAATTGTTTGCAGAATGATTAAAAATAACTAATTCAGACAATTCATTTGGCAGTAGATGTGACAGATAGACAGCTAGATTTCATAGGAAAACCAAGGATGCTAGAACCTGGGGAATGTGAGCATTGGCACTTGTACAAGTGTGCTACAGAGAAGAAAAAAGCAGTTTCAATAATTATTAAGATTCAACAATTAAGACTCAAGGGCAGGTGACCAGAAAGGCAAGTGGATAAATATAGTTTTCTTCTTCTGGAAGAAAGTTTTGTAGTAAGCATATGCACCAATTTCCAATGAGCATATCTGATAAAATAGAAAAAAAAGATACTTACTTTGTTGCCGGGCTTTTTCTTCTTGAAGAGCTTTTTTATTTTCTCTTGGTTTCTTCTCGAGCTGTAACATTTCTTATTCTCCTTTTTCACTTTGAGATTTGTGCTCGTGATCCCTTCGCACAACAGTTATGTGATCACCAAGTATTTCTACACAATAATATTGAAGTCAGATGTATATTCTCACTAAAATTTAACTGTAAAAATATGTAATGGTAATTAAACTTCGAAATCTGGGTACTCTGAACATGTATAGAGTGAACAACAAACATTAACAAAAAGTTAAGATTAAGGAGGTCGCTAGCCTATATAGCTTTAATTGTCTGTTCTTCTCATATCTTAATCCCCGTCATCGTTTGAAGTCAAATCTTAGCATAACACCCAGATGGAGAATGTACAAAAATTAACATTGAAGATTTGTGAAAAAACATAGGCCAAATTGGTCAAGTATGGAAATAAACAGTCATATGTGGTAGTCAGTCTGAATTGAAGAAATTTACACACAGAAATAATTCAAGGCCTACTATCTCAGTCTAATCCAGTTAGCTATGTTTGTATATGCAGCAGTGGTTCCATGAGTAGAGTAAAGGTAGGTAATATCACTGATAAATACATCAAAATCGAATTTTCATGATGTCTTGGTCTTTCGCATGTGATCTTCAACAAAGCACATTAATTAGCTTTTCGACCAACCTATTGGTGTATCTTTGTCCCTTGATAATTTTACATGCCTGGAAAAAGGATAATAAAGAATAGCTCAAAAATTGTGAAACATGAAGTTATAACACATCAAATTAAATGATGCTTGCTGAGTATTTAATTTCTGCTGCTGTAATCCTTCATTTTCTGTAAAGATAAAGAAAGAATCCAAAGAAAATCATGGCTTTTCTCTGGGAGTGGAAATTTCATCTCTTACTCTAGGAGCAAAAAATAATCAAAACCCCACGTAATACACAAACCAAGAAGCACAACTAAATATTTCAAGAAATAATAACCAATCCATTTAACCAAATAGCTCAAAACATCAAAAAATTCAAAACTTTAACTCAGAACTACAATAAAACCCAACTAAAGTTTAAAACAAGAAGTTCAAACGAAAATGTAAAAAATATTAATGGAAACTTGAAGTTGATTTTTAGAAATTGCAACCGTCTCTATGTTGATCCCTAAATCCCTCCTTATGATGTTAATGGAAATTTGTGCAATTTGTGTCCCATCGGAGGGCATCCAATTGAAAAGAATAAATTGTTACTATTGTCTTTGGGTTTAATACTCTATTTCACTTTCGCATGTTGAACCTTTCTGCCATTAGATGTAATCTGCAAGTATAACACATCATACTATCATAATGAACATATGTAACATTGCCAGAATGACTATAATACAAAATGAAAGAATACAGAAAATGAACAAATTGTACGTCAAACTGTTAGGAATGATGGTCTAAGTTAAAGAAGAAGCTTTTTCGATAATTTCATCATAGACTAAATTATATGTGGAGTGATCATCATTATGGTCAGCAGTAGCTGGTCTAATTAATACCTTGACACAGTTAGAGCCTAGTGCCTTTAGCTCTCGATAAAGCAATGTAGAAGAAGTTGAAAGAGAGTTAATTCTCTAGAAGCAAGCACAAAGTTCCAGAACAGAACAAAACGGTGGAAGGATAATACAATACAGAGTTACAAGTATTTGAGCTAAATATTTCTGTTTTTTAGGATCATCACAAAAAGGTAGGAGTATTTGGGAATATAAAGAATTCTTTTTTTTTCTGTTTATTAGCAGTGTTTTTTTTAAATAAAGGAAATTCAAGTTTGGCGTCCTAATTTCAATTTTATGGCTTCTTTATTATGATCTCTTTTTGTTGTTATTCCACAATGAGTACTTTTTATTATTACTCTTTTGAAACACGCAATAGGCAGATGTTGCTCTATTTTCTTCACAAACAAGCTGCCTAACTTACCCCACTCTTCACCAACCTAGAAAACTCAAAATAAGGAACAATACAAAAAGAGAGAAGCTTCAAAATAAGGACTAAGGAGAGAGAAAAGAAGAGAAATACTACTTAATTGTGTTTAAAAGAATAAACAGTAGCTCACTGTAGATTATTGCTTAATATTCACATGATTCTCACGCTTTAATGGAACTTTCTGTGTGGATAACAACTTCAAAAATTGAGTTCTCCTCCATTTGAATTTGATTAACCTTGACTATTTGGTTTTTAAATACTCGCCGCTCTTTCATTTCAAGGCAGTTGACCCACTTAACTTCAACTCTTTTTTATAGTAATATAATACAATATTTTAAGTTCATATTATGTGCACTTATACTGTAAGTCATGTAACTGATATTTCAAATATTTAGTAGTTGAACAAAGTTAGAGAACTAAAAAGGAAAAAGAGAAAGGTGAAATTGTCACGACCACAACCCCGGTCGTGATGGCGCCCAACACAATGCTAGGCAAGCCCGACCATTTCAGTACTCTCAATCCCTCACATAGAGTTCGTTACCAATTAACAGGGTTCAAATACCAAATTAACATAAAACACAAGTCTGAAACAGTGGATACAATGCGCGGAAAGAACGTAATAACATCACTACAAGCCCATCGATCCGGTGTCACGAGTCAAGAGCCTCTAATACAAGTATGAGAAACAGCCTAAACAAAAGATAGTCTGAAATACTGAAAGTAAAGAGGATAGAGGGAGAAATCGGGTCTGCGGACGCCATGCAGCTACCTCGATGACTCCGGTGAGATCTGAACAATAGAGACAGCTCAATCTACGCCTCCGGAATACCTGTATCTGCACACATGGTGCAGGGAGTAATGTGAGTACTCCGACTCAGTGAGTAATAGCAATAAATAATGACTGACGGAAAGAAATCTCGTAAAGAGCACTAAGCAGTTCTATATCAAGCAGTAAGAACATTTAAACAGCAACTAAATGAAGAAGCCAGGAAAAATCCTTTAAGCTAGTACCCAACTCATTTATTTCTCACAATAACCAAAATTATAGTATACTGCTGCGGCGTGCAGCCCGATCCGTATAAATATACTGCTACGGCGTGCAGCCCGATCCATAATATATATATACTGCTACGGCGTGCAGCCCGATCCAATAATAATAGTCGACTGCGCTCACTGGGGGTGTGCAAACTCCAAAGGGGCTCCTACAGCCCAAGCGCTATACTGCTGCGGCGTGCAGCCCGATCCACATAATATACAGCTGCGGCGTGCAGCCCGATCCATATAAGTATACTGTTGCGGCGTGCAGCCCGATCCATATAAGCATACTTCTGCGGCGTGCAGCTCGATCCACATAATATATCAGTCATCCTCACTATTGGGTTCTCAACCCCTCTCAGTCAATATAAACTTTGCCCCTCGGGCATACTAAGATAAGATAGGGATTCCAGCCCTCATATTACTCTCATTTTTGGTTTAGCCATTTCAAAGCCAGTTCATATTTTATTAAACAGTTAGAAACATGACTGAGGGTGTGATTTGTAACAAGTAAAGTGAGGTCAATCAGTACAAATGTCCCTACGGGTTCTACAGGTCGGCACAAGGCCCCAAACATGGCTACTAGCCCAAACTATAATGATATTAATTAAGCCTCCGTAAAAAATACAGTAGAATCATCAATCGGGATGGACCAAGTCCAAATCCCCAGCAGTAATGGACCCCACGCTCGACATGCAGCGTGTGTCTCACCTCAACATAGCACTACGTTGTGCAAATCCGGGGTTTCAAACCCTCAGGACATCGTTTGTAACCATTACTCACCTCAAGCCGGCCAAAGACCTAGCTCGCTATGCCCTTGCCTCGCAAATCAACCTCCTCGCACGTCGAATCTGGCCAAAATCACAACGAATACGTTACAATAGGCTAAGGGAATATAACCCAATCGAAAAGACTCGAAAAATATCGAAATTCACGAAGTTGACAAAACCCGAGCCCCGGGCCCACTTCTCAAAAAATCAAAAAATTAACGTCACCGGATTCCTTATCTCGCCACGAGTCTATACATATCAAAATTACCAAAATCAGAGTCCATTTGACCCCTCAAATTCCACTTTGAAATATCAAATTCCCAAGCCCTAGCTTTACCCTCTTTTGATGAATTTCCACAAATTTCAATGCAAGTTCTACCATTATGGTGGAAATGGACATAAGCTCGCGGAACAAAATAGGCCAAGGAACTCACCTCCAATCACACCTAGTCGAAATCCCCTTCAAATTCTGTCCAAGAGCTCTCAAGGTCGATCAAAAATGGTGGAAATGGACATAAGCTCGCGGAACAAAATAAGCTTTAAAACCCTTCTGAGAACAGTGATTTTCGCATATGCGGTTCCTTTACCGCATTTGCGACTACCGCTTCTGCGGTTATAATTCCGCTTCTGCGGATCTTCATTAAACCAACAACCGCTTCTGCGGTCCCCTGTCCGCATATGCGGACCCCGCTTCTGCGGTTACTTGTCCGCTTCTGCGGAAGCACCAAGGCCTCACCTTTACGCACCTGTGACTATTCTACCGCATCTGCAGCCTCGCAGATGCGGCTTCCCTACCGCGTCTGCGGATCCTTCCATCCAGGCCAATGACTGCGCCTGCGATCTTTCCTCTGCACCTGCGCAACCGCATCTGCGGTTCCTTTTCCGCAGATGCGGAAATACCAGAAACCAGGCATACCAGCAATCTCATAAGTCCAAATTTCATCCCGATGGCTATCCGAAATCACCCTGAGGCCCCCGGGACCTCAACCAAAAGTGCCAATCCATCTTAGAACATCATTCAAACTTACTCCAATCATCAAAATACCACAATTAACACCAAAACCCTCAAATTACATCGGATTCAAGCCTAAGTTCTTCCAAAACTTCCGAATTACGCATTTGATCAAAAACCTTATCAAAACACCTCCGAATGATCTGAAATTTTGCACACATATCCAAAATCTCCTAACGAAGCTACATCAACTCTCGGAATCCCATTCCGACCCTCGGATCAAAATCTCACCTAACAACCGGAATTCGCCAAAATACTAACTTCGCCAATTCAAGCCTAATTCTACACCGGACCTCCGAAACCAGTTCCGATCACGCTCCTAAGTCACAAATCATCCCCCGAAGCTAACCGAATCACCGAAAATCACATCCGAGCCCTCTAACTCATAAGTCAACATCCGGTTGACTTTTCCAAGGCAAACCTTTCTTAAAGAGACTATGTGTCTCATTTTCATCCAAAACCAATCCATATCGACTCATTCACTCAAGACGCTTATAGTAAAACATAAGGAAGCAGAAAATGGGGAAAACGAGGCGGTAACTCACGTGACGACGGGCCGGGTCGTCACAGAAATATTATAGTATACTAAAAAGATGCTTTAGAAAGTTAAATTTGTAAATTCAGCACTAACCGGAGAGAGGAAGCAGGTCAGAATTAGAGTGCAATCGAGATGGTCTAACAGAGAGAAAAGGAGAACACTGATGGATGAGAGAAGAAAGGCGTAGGATTATCCAGACCTGCCGACTCCATTGTATATGATATGAGAAAAGCGTACATGTGAGAATAGCTTAAAACCTACACGTAGTATCTGAGCAGCGCATAAAAGGGCACGTATAGAGGTCATGTGAAATGACCTAAATGCCCTCAGATTTTGTTGAAAGAATTAAAGCATACATGTCAAAAAACGTTCTCTTCTAACATATAGAAATATGAATATAGACAGGGATTTCCGTGCCATAGGCACGGGCCCAACATCGCTTTATGTTTCAATATATGTAAACATTAATTTAGAGCTCAGGTTAGAGAGAAAATACCGGTATAAATTACAATAAGCTTAGAAAAAGGTCATACATGAACACTCATGGCAACATATATGAAACAGAAGGGAAAATAATAAATTTGATCATATAATTGCCTATTGAAATGCAAGGAACAAAATTTGGGAATTAAGATGTTCCATCATTAACAGTATCTAAAAGGAACAAAATC